TTTTTGCTACAGAGTGCATGTGCTCACCTGAGAGAAACATAGAAGGCGAGATATCACACCCTAAGGGGGTATGGCCATGTAACAATCCCTTCCCCTCCATTCTGCTCTCAGGATTTTGGACATGCACACATGCGCCCAGCCTGAGTTTCAGGTCACCAGGTTCAAAACTCAAATTGCAGTCAGCCAAGTGGGAGTCCAGCACCTTAACCACTATGCCACCTGCTGGTCCCTTAACTTTTTTCTTAAGGATACAGGATCCTAGTTCAATTCACAGTCCAGACCTGATGTTGACTCATTTACACAGAGCCTTGTTTGCATTGAGACCATAAAGATGCAGCTGGTTCCACAGTGCTGGAAACCACATGGCTGATCCTAGGTTTGGATCCCAAGGCTATGACTAACTAATGGGCTAGAGGAAAGGGATTGTGGCATAAAGAGACTATGTTGAAGGTATTTCCCCTCTCTCTCTTTCTCTAAAGCATGCTTTTTCTTATGAAATAAATAAAATAAACTTTAAAAAAGTAAAAATAAAAATGCTGCTTCACTTAAATTTTATGTAAACTTTACCCCTCCCCTTTTCTCCAAAGTTCTATAGTAACTTCATCTTTACCTTTACGTGGTAAAAAATAGTTTAAGCTAAAAAAGTAAAAAACTCATCAGGCTGGCCATAACTGGCACTGATAACAACGTTGCCAAGTGGTTTTCTGGCGAGTAGTCTCCTTCCAAGGACTCAGTCATTCAAAACTCAAACTGCAGTCAGACTTGCATTTTGTCCTACACATGTCTCTGAAGGTCTTGGGCTGACTGAGCTAGAAATGGACTAGCACTTAAAGCATTTTTTTTTTATTTAAACCACTGTTTTCACATCATTTTTACTCATAGTCAAATGCTAGGAAGTAGCTCCAATCATGTGCTGTCTACAAGAGAGCAAATAGGTTGAAAGTAAAAGGATGAAAAAAAAAATGATAGACCATGCAAACAATAAAATAAAAGCCTTGGAATGGTGATACTAATGTCAAAGAAAACAGACCTTAAGGTCCTACTGGGTTTCCATTAGACTGTAAAATTCTCTAGGTGATTCTGTTGTGACAGGGATAAGTAAGAGACAGAAGTTTGGAGAAGGCTAATCATGGCCAAAGGCAACACATGAAGCACCTGGGTCTTCCTAAAGGAAAGAGACAGATTAGGCACGTTTAGGATTCCAGTTCCTTCTATGGGGGGATATTGGAGATGAAAGCTGCTTTTGTTGCCAATGAAACATGATTCATAATTGATACTCATGTGGGTTCTTTCTGAAGCTAGCATGGCTTAGGGAAACACACACACATGCACATACACACACACACACACACACACAGTAAAAGTGGTTCTTAGGTTTAATTTTTAGTATTCATCCACAATAACAGTCATCTTACCGCTGCTAATCTTTGAGCATGGTATTGTGCCGCTGTAAAGTACGGTCCTGGTGTCATCAGTTTATCAGTCATATTTGATACATACACACCAATTTTAGTCATCTGTGTGGATGTGGTATTTGCGGTCTGTTGAAACTTTCTTTTCTCAAAAACAGTCTAAAATAAAAACATTAAAACATGTAAGTATTCATCAGATACACACACACACATGAGTGAAGAGAGTATTTTCCTACATAGTCCATTTTTCTTTCATTTTAATTCCTACATAAGTCCTTGGGAGAATTAGGGAGAGTCATACGACACAATGCTATAGCTTCGAAATCTAAATGGAAAAGTGAAAATATCACCTGTGTGTCTCTACAAAATACGCTGGTTCTTTCAGAAGTTTTTTTAGGTATTGTTTGTGTCCCGGCATTATGATATTCTATTCCTGTTATTTTATGTCTGAATCCACCAAGAAATGGTTTGTGAAAGTCAGATTTTACAATCTCAACAGCCAACTCCTGGTACTGATCAATGCCTAAGGAGACAAGACCAAGACTGAATGAAAGTTCATCCACAAAGACACAACCAAAAAGACATCAAATAACTCACCAGTTTGCACAAGGACTGTTATGATTTGAGAGACATCACTTAATCCTGGTATTCTTTTAACTGGATATTGATATGGATTTGTAGAAAAGAGTTCCAACTGTACAACTTCCTTTGGCTTAATGCCACGTTCTATTAAAGTTTCATTATTTTTAAGAATTATCCCTAGAATCAGAAATAACATTTTAAGAAGTTTTATAGCAAAGAAATGGTTATTTATTGATTGAGCTTTCTCTTTTCAATTTATAAATAAAATTGTATATATTTATGTAGCATAACATGATGTTCAAATCTATTCTCTTAATAGTTAGGAAATATACAATATATTGCTATTAACTACAGCCATCATGATGTACAATAGTGCTTCAGAAAGAGCTAATTATTATGTCCTCATTTTTAGAGGATGAAAAACATCATCAAAGATACTTGTAGAAGTGCATATCATTTAATTATTAAATATAATATTAATGGTTTCCACCTCTTGCTATAATGTTAATATAGAAAATTCCACAATGGCAAACTCTATAGTGTCATTCTTGAGCAGGAATTCAACATTATAAATAAAGCTACAACTCAACGCATTTAAATGTATAGTAACTATTGACCTCAATAAACACTTAAAAATGAAAATATTCTGTCATATAAACAAAATATTTTTCTATACATTGACTCTAACAAAACATTACATGTAAGTAAATATAAGACATGTCCTTATAGGGGGAAGCATGATCATTTTCATACCCATCCCATTCTCCAGTATAGAAAAGCATACACTCAGAAATCTGAACAGTCCTTCTCTCTATAATTAGAAACATAAATTAATTCATGCCAAGGCGGAGGTAAGCTTCAGCTGTGTGCTGGAAAAGATATACATTGCTTTATTTTTATTTTGAATTGCTCCGACTTCTACTTTATTCTCCCTCCTGCATCCACTGTTAGTATAATCAGTGAATGGACCAATTTTCTTTCTCTCTGCTGAGGGATACAAAAATATAATAATGTTACTAACTACTGTATTGTATCACAGAAACTTTATTGATTAAAAATATATCTCGCCCAGCAGGTGGTGTGGTGGTTAAAGGAGCTGGACTCCAACAGGGCTGACCACAGTTCAAGTACTGGACTTGGTGGCTTGCTATCTCATTCTTTCTTTCTCTCTCTCTCTCTCTCTCTCTCTCTCTCTGTCTCTCTCTGGTCAAATTGAAAAATAATGATAATAAATAAATAAATAATTCTTTTAAGAAAAATCTATATCAAATGTTTAGTCTTCCTAAATTATAAGTAGAAATTTGAACACACAAAAGCTATACTTATTCTTAGAAACCTATCAGACACCATTAGTCTATTTTTTACTGTGTTCAAGAAAGCATATTCTATGTACTCTGAGTTTGAACTTGACAAACTAAATTGTTCAGTAAAAAATTAATATGAATGTCATATAGGCTTTATGATGAGTTTAATCATGGCCCTAAAATATGTCCACATTCCTTCTCCCAGGAGAAGGGATTGCGGCATGATCATCCCCCGTGGGCATGCCTCCTCTCTTTCTCTCTCTCTCTCTCTCTCTCTCTCTCTCTCTCTCTCTCTCTCTCTCTCTCTCTCTCTCTCTCTCTCTCTCTCTCTCTCTCTCTCTCTCTTGTGAGCACACACACTCTCTGGCAAAATTTTTTAAAAGTAAGCTCCAAAAGAAAAGAAAGAATGAAACTCCAGAAACTGGAAAGGCAATCAAGTGGCTTCTCCCCTAGAGCCTCCAGAGAGAGAGAGAGTGGACCTATTAACACCTTGACATCAGTGAAATCAATTTAGAATTTCTACTCCCTGGAACTATAAGAAAAATACACGTGTTGCATTAAGTCAGTAAATTTGTAATTGTCAGTGACAGGAGCCATAGGAAACATATATAGGTTCCCCAAGCTTTCTCCCCTCCTACTTATTTCTATAGTAGACTTAGTACCACCAAAGTTGAGCTCCAGTTCTAGTATTAGAAGAAATCACCCATCTTAGATGATGGTTGATAAGAATCAAGCTCTGTTGTAATTGCTGCTGATATAGGTCTGATCCTCAGTGCTGATGCCTGGCACTTACAGAAAAAAAAAGGGTCAGGAAGCGTATTGACAGAGAGCCTTAATACTACTGGCCAGCTACCACAGTCTCAAAGTGCTGTCACTTCTCTAATTTTAAACTTCACATTTTAGTTAACGTCCAGTAGTTTCTAATTCCCACTTTGGAGGAATATCTACAGTTCAGTTGAGACTCTACCCTTGATCAGCAGCATGACTTTGCATCAATTCCTTAAGTTTTAAGTTCCTTTTCTCAGAAAGAGTTCCTAATAATACCGACTTCCATTGGGTGGTTGCATTGATCAAGTGGTAACCTAGACAACACATTTCATAGGAGTGCTAGCACACAGTACATATTCAATAAATTAACCATCATCATCATTTCTAATAATCACTTACATTTTAGTTTTGTTTCCCCAATCAGGCTTTAATAATCAGTTATAGAATACATAAACATCTTACTTTTGGAGTATATTTATTATGATGGATTTTTTTTAATAGTTTTGAAATTGGATTGATTGTTTTTCTCTGGAAACTTTCTGTGGACATCTTTATAAGTCAATATCAAAAAGTTTCTTTTTTGAAGACATAATTGTGCTATGTTGCAACCCTCCCACCTCAGCCTCCCAAGTCACTGGAACAGGCTCAGGAGACTGTGCCAATCCTTTAGAGTAGGCCAGAACTGGATCCAGTACTTCCACATGACCTCAGGTTCCTGAGAAGCAGCATCTCCCAGCAGGTGCTACCACAGCTTAGCCAAAACAATTTTTAACTAAAATATTAAGATATGTTCATACATATTTATAGGAACATACATTCAAATAAACTATCTTTGTCTGGTTAACTATTGCACTTATAAAAATCATGTCCTCTCATGTAAGAAGGCTGATATAACTCCAGTGGAGTATTCAATACCATCCACAAGTAGATGTTTGTGAACAATGTAAAAATAAATAAATGAAAGAAAAAAAAAGAAAGAAATTTGACATCATGGGAATGTGAAATGATCTCAATGTATGAAATACCAACAAATTGTGTTCAACCTTCTTGTTCTGTGCATTCGCCTTCATCACCTATTTTTTTTCAGTCTCATCTCCTCTCACTCTCCATATATAAACTACCACCAGCCACAGAAAACATCTCGCCCATTTCCCAAAAGTTCCAGGTTTTCTCACTTCCTTGAGAATTAACCCAATATTATCACTTCTATTAAATGAAATGTCGTAGAATCTCCCAACCTCCTTCTCCCTGTTCCCATGGCTTTTAGTGTATATTTTCACTGAAGCATGTACATGTTATATAGTAACTACTGCATTCTTCTTCTTCTTTCTTCCTAGTCTGTAAACTATTGTAATCATGAATTTTGTTTCATGTTTCTTTGTATCTTTAGTTCTTAGCAAGTATCAAGAACAACGTATAACCTCAATAAAAATGTGTAAAATCAATTAATGTATAACCATAATATAATGTTTAAATAGTAAATATCAAGGTATTTCATTTAACAAATTGAAGATCTTGACTGTAAACATGATAAAACTAGGGAGTTCTTGATAAGCTTTATTAGCCTCCAAACTTACCTGAATATCTTAACTGCAGTACATATTCCGGTATACCTAATAACTGTGAAAAGTGATCCTTGAGAAATTTGAAAATGATGTCAACTTTAAAAGGCATTGTAATTTCCTGGCCCACAGGAATAAGTACAATTTTCACTGTAGACAAAAAGAGAAAAGAAAAATTATAGTCAACTATAGCAAGAGTCAGAAACCTATGCCCACAAAGAGGTGCAGAATTCTGGGCTGACTTTGATCACATGGAATCCAGGCCGCTGGTGCCACATTTCCCCACTGCATCCTGATGATAAGAGTAACTTTTTTATTTTATATAAGGAAAGGTGATCAGCATTCAATTGCAACCTTTTTCTTTGAAAATTAACCCTTAATCTTGAGAATTAGCATTAACGTTCAACACCTGATATAGATTGTTCAGCTATAGGCATAGAAAACATCTTAGAAAATGAAGCATTTTTCTATAGTGAGTATAGAAAAGGGAGACCTTGAGATAGAGGTCTTGAACCTGGAACTTAGAAATGCCCTGTAACTACTTTTCACAAAAATAGATATTATACCCATTCTATAATATGGGGATCAAAATCCTCACATGGTGGGCCTGCCCCCTACCACAATTGTTAGATTCTGTGCCTAAAAAGCTAGATCCCGCATGGCAGACTGTGGCCTGGCAGTTTGAAAAATATACCAGGAGTATGTGTGTGTGCCCTAAATCCTCACAAGATAGAGAATTATAGTAAAAAGGGTTGCAGTGTGACCATGCTCCATTGGGAGGTGATTTCTCTCTTTTTCTCTCTCTCTTTCTGGAGAGTGCAAATGCCCTCTGGTAATTAAAAATAAAAAGTTATTCTTACATTATAAGGATAAAAATTATTGTATAATCATTATTTCTTTACCATTTATAGGAGGGGAAATACAGTATTTCAAAACACATCAATAAGATAGACTTTTTCTTTTAATCTATAGACTTACTTATAGCTAAATGGGACATTTATCAATAATCCCATCACATGGGAATCAGCAGTTAGTGTAATGGCTATGTCGCTGGACTCCCACAGTCGACCACAGTTCGCGTCTCTGACCCGGTGGCTTAAAACTCAAGCCGGGCGCATGTGCGTGCATGCCCAAGATCCCAAGAGGAGAATAGAGGAGAAAGGATTGTGGCGTGACCATCCCCCCTGGAGAAGGATTTCTCGCTTTCTGTCTCTATGTCTCTCTGTCTGTCTGGCGAGTGCACGTGCCCTATAGCGAAAATCTCTCCAAAAAACTAAAAAAAGAAATAATCCCATCACAAAATTTAAGGAGGCATTGGTAATGCTTGGGTTCATGGGATTTGTTAAAACTTGTTTACATAGTTCTCTAACAACAAAGATGTCAAAATTGTCAAAAAGCGATTTTAATTGTTTTATGGATACAAAAAGCTATGATTTATATACTTTTTTTAGGGAAAAGCAGAGAGTTTATTGAAGGAGAGGGAAAGAAAAAACAGTACTCCCAAGAAGAAGGGAGAGGCCCCGGAAAATGGGTTGCTGAGGAAAAACTGAGGTGGGAGGTGTTTTGTTTTGTGTCATTTTTTAATTATTTATTTAATTTATTTATTTATGTATTTTAATTTGACCAGAGAGAGAGAGAAGGAAAGTGAGAAAGCAAGTCACCAGGTCTGGGAGTCAAACTATGCTTGGCCATGTGGGAGTCCAGTACTTCAACCACCACACCACCTGCCAGCTCCGAAGTGGGAGGTTTTAATCTTGGTAAAGAAAAGTTTTGTCTGGGCCTATGATTCGTATACTTTAGAACTTTTATAATAGTGGAATTCTTTTTTTTAATTTTTCCATTTTTTTTTAAATGCCAGAAGGTGTGTGTATAAGAGAGACAGACAGAGAGAAAGAAAGCACTCCCCAACAGGGTCTAGCCATGCCACAATCCTTTTCCTCTAATTCTTCATCTCGTCAGGATCATGGGCATGCATGTGCATCTGGAATACAAGCCACCAGAATTGGGCCTCAAACTCTGGTCACTCATGTGGGATAGTACTTAGGCACTGTGCTATGAGGCTGGTCCAATAGTGAATTTTTAAGCTTTGAGAAGGAGAATTATGTGAAGGGATTGGAGGACTTCAGGAAGTATGTACCAAGACAACTTTATTTTTTTAATCATCATGTATTTGTTATAAATGATATTACCAGGGGATAATAGAAATGTCCAAAAATGGGCTGGATGGGCACATTGAAATCCCAAAATGTTCAGGAGGCAGGGCAAGAGGATGCCTGAGTCTAAGAGTTCTTGGCTGTAGTGCATTAGGCCAATCAGTGTCCACACTAGGTTGATTATCAATATGGTGACCTCCTGGGAGAGGGGAGATCACCAAAACTGGGAGCCAGATGGTGGCACAGTAGTAATGCAACTAATAAGAACGGCCTCAGGGTGCTCCCGAGCCCTCCCTGTGTATGCCAGGTGTGTGTGCACATGGCCATGATCCCGGCTAGCTGAGGTTGAGAGTGTGGCACGGCATAAAGACCCTGTTGGGAATGCCTGTCTCTGCCTCTCTATCTCTTTCTCTGTGTGTGTGTGTGTGTGTGTGTGTGTGTGTCTGTGTGTGTGTCTGTGTGTGTGAAGGAAGAAATAAATAAATAAACTTAAGAAAAAAAGAAAAATCTAGAGTCGATTAGTAGCATAATGGTTAAGGAGGCCATATTCCTGGGTATTTGGAGTCCTAGACCCCACAGCCTGAGGAACACATCTGGTAAACATGTGCAAATGTACTCAAAATACTGAGTAGAATGGAGAAGGTATTGCAGTATGGCCATCCCCGGGGTGGGAGCGGGAATTACATTTTTACTTTCTCTCTCTTCCTCCCTGCGTATGCACACAATAACAAAATCTAAAAAAGAAAAGAAAAAGAAAAGAAAAAAATCTAAAAATTGAACCCCAGACCACGGCCTGGTGGTTAAGGGAACTGGATCCCACACGGCCAACTGTGCAGTTTGAATCCCAAACCTGGTGGCTTGAAAAACACAACGAATGTACACACAAGCATGCCCAAAATCCTGAAAAGAGAAAAATAGAGAAGTGCTTGCAGCAGAACCACATCCCATGAGAGGTACTTTCTCTGTCTCTCTCTCTCTCTGTCTCTCTCTCTCTCTTTGTTTCTCTCTCTCTCTCTGGTGAATACATTGCCCTATGGCAAATTAAAATAAAACAGAACAAAACCAAACAAAACTCGACAGAAGGAAAAAGAATCGTCAGTGAGGCATGCGAGCAGAACCGTCCTCTGCAGTACCACTACCTGATTGTTGCTCCCCCTCTGCTCCGGTACCAAGACTGTCATACTAACTATACACCATCAACATTATTTTGTGCATGTCTTTAAAATTAAGCTACAATAAAATATAATCGTGATTTTTCTGAAGCTAAATATAAGGTTAATCATACGCAGATCCTACAAATATGTAAAGCATCATAATATGTGGAGCGAGTACTGGATACGAAACTAGGAAATCTGGAGTCAGGTTCTCATATCACCTCTTGCTAGCTATGTACAATTAACTCTAAATTGATATGCAAAAAAAATTCCAATTATAATCAAGAATTTCTCTGTCATTTTTAGGTCCCCTGGACATTTAAAAAACCTATTTAATTTAAAAATATAAACAGGGTCCAGCAGTCAGCATAATGGCTATGTTGCTGGACTCCCATATAGTTGACCATGGTTTGAGTCCTGGACCTGGTGACTTAAACCCATGCCAGGCGCATATGCATGCATGCCCAAGATCCCCAGAGGAGAATGGAGGATAAGGGATTGCGTCGTGGCCGTCCCCTCGGGGAGGGGGGATTTCTCGCTTTCTGTCTCTCTGCCTCTCTGTCTTTCTGAAGCAAGCGCACGTACCCTATAGTAAAAACCTCTCCAAAAAAAAAAGTAAAAATATAAACAAATATTGATTTAAAATTTAATGATGCTTACTTATGGGGTAAATAGATATTGTAGGATAGAGAAGTTGTCACACACAGTTAAGAGAGTCAGAGAGTCAAGCAGTGTAACTCTAAAAGTTTGATGGATAAGGGAAAGTATAACGAGATCAATTTTAAAAATACTTCAAGTAAAAGTAAGCAAGAAAAAACAACCATTCTTCAAAATGGGGAAACGAAATAGCCCATCTTCCCTAGGTAATACCTATTGCTGAAGAGTCTTTCACTGATTCTTGCAAAGACTTCTTTATAGCCTTTATTTTATCCAGAAATGTGAGATTGTCGTCATTTAGATTCTGTGTGTCTAACTGTGTCTCAGATTCCCCATAATATTCTGAGGTGTATGAAACCTGACTAGATGGCATAACTTCTTCCACGAGTTCTTCATCTCCTGGTTCCTGGCTTGGAAAGCTAAAGACATTTTCCTCCATAGCAGGTATTTCCTGGCCCTCATCAAACGTTTCTACTTCAGATTCATGTTCATCAGCTTCGTCTGTGTCTGGAAGCTCCTCTGAGATAACTGGAATATTGATAGTATTAGAAGTGTCATCTCTTTCTTCTGTTGAATTCACCGTATTCTGATTATCAAACTCTTCCTCTTCATCAGACATTTTCTGAATCAAGAAGAATAAACATATTTACATATGCAGAGAAGTTTCCATATCAAATATCAAACTCATTGCTGGTACAGAGTAAAGTTCTTAATATACTACAATATTGTTCTTTTTTTTTTTTCAAAAAATTCTGATTATCTTGGTGAGAACATCAGATAAAAAACACTGGTGAATTTTTAATAAAAAACGCCACAGAAAATAAAAATGAATGATCCCAAAACTCTCAACTCAATAAATTTAAGAGAAATATTCTTTGAAGAACATACAGCAAAATAATTTCTTATTCAATGAGAAGCAACTGTGAAAACAAGATGCTTTGAATTACTTTTCTTCTGAATACAAAGCTGACATAAGATTTACGTTTCTGGATTACAAATTATTAAGAGCTCCAAGGAACCAACAGCTAGCAGTACCCTGGATAGAACACTCCTTGCAATAACTCTGCTTTTACAAATTGTAGCAGAGTTGTTTAGTGACCTTTGACCCCCCAAACAAGTATAATAATGAAAATGTGGACTGAGTTTGAACCTGACTAAAGCCAGAACTCAGCAGCCAAAAGTTTGGCTTAAGAGATGATGACAGCATCTAGAAGCTTAGTCCAGTGTGCCAAGGACATCCCAGAGCTAGGCTGCAGAGGCAGGAGTTGGATCAGAGCAGTGAGGAGCCAACACAGCAGGTAGCCAGCAATATAAAATAGGGCACTATAAAGATACATGTGATTAAATTTAAATGTTTTAAAAATATTTAAAGTAATATTTTTAAAAAAGATAAAATAGGGAAGGTAGCCCTGAGGACAGATTTCTATGGCAACAACTGAGAGAATATTAAATTTTAGAAGGCCAACAGGTGGCATGGAGATTAAGGCACTGGATCTCACATGGCTACCTATGCATTCAAGTCCAGAACTTGGCAGCTTGAAGATTATGTTGTGTGTGTGTGCGTGTGTGAGTGTATGTGTGTGTGTGTGCTCTAAGTTCTAAGGAAACTGGTGGAGAAGGGATTCTGGCATGGTCATCCCACAATGGAGCTTAATGGCCTGATTTGAAATAGAATATCACAAAGAAGCCCTAACTCCTAACTCCTTACATTTCTACCTAGTAGATTATCCTTCTTCCAATATGGCCAAGATAGCGTATTCTAACACAGCAACAGTAACAAAATCATGAACTTGCTAAACACAACTAGAAAAATTAAAAGATAAACCATAAACTGGGTGATAATTTGCAAAACACATCTGATAAAGGACCTGTATATAGATCACAAGAGGATTAATACAGTAAGAAACAATAACACACACACACACACACACACACACACACACACAAAGTAAAAGATTTAAACAGTTCACCAAAGATATATACAGAAGACAAACAGGTCCAGCAACAGGTTGAGGCAAATGAGGCACCTGCTAATGCTCTTTGCACTTAAACTTGAGAGTGCCTATCTCCCCAGATTGGAACCTAGATGTCTCATTTACCTCATTCCAGTCCCAGCCTGGAGAGCAAGCACATAAAAAAAATATGCTTAATATTATTAGTCATTAGAAAAATGCAACTTCAATTCACAATAAGATAGCACTGAATACCTACTAGAAAAAATTAAAATAACATATTTTTCAATAATTATTTTATTTTTATTTATTCATTCTTTTTTTTTTTTTTAATTTGACCAGAGAGAGACAGAGGTTGAGAGTGAGAGAGAGAGGAAGTGAGAAAGTAAGCCACCAGATTCAGGACTTGAACCCTGGTCGGCCATGTGGGAGTGTCCAACACCTTAATCACCATGCCACCTGTTGGTCCCAAAATAACATATTTTTTAAACCCAACAATAATAAGCCCTAGTGAGTGAGTATGAAGACAACTGGAGCTCTCAGATCTTGATGGAGCAAATGAAAACTGGCATAGCATTTGGGATAAGGGTCTGTGAATTTTTGTATAAATATACACTTAATATTTGACCCAGTAATCTGTCTTGTCACCACGTGGAATGAAAGCACTCACTAGTACAAAACTTGTACACAGGTGTCTATAGCTAACTTAGTCTTAATCACCAAAGAATAGCAACAATACAAATTCCCTGAGGAATGACTTCACATACTATGACACACTCATAAAATAGAATACCAGCATCAATTAAAAAAATTACTACACACAACATGAATGAACTTCAAATGAATTTGTACTAAGTGAAGAAGTCAACTCTAAGGCTATCTACTGTAAGATTCAGTCTTATATGGCTGAATTGTCTATATGACAAATTATAGGGTAAGAAAATTTATCAAACCCAAGGATTAAGGGTAGAAATTAATTACAGAAGGATATGAGAAAATGTTCATGTGATGGAACTATTTAAAATCTCAACTACGATAATGATTACATAAATTTTATGTGTTTATTAAAATACATAGCACTCCACGGTAAAAAAAAAAGAAGGTAAATTTTGGGAACAGCAGATGGCATAATGTTTACGTGGTCTGACTCCCACATAGTTAACTATGGTTCAAGTCTAAAACTCATACCAGACACATGTGCGTGCATGCCCAAAATCTCAAGAGGAGATGGAGAGTGGATTGCAGTGTGGCGGTCCCCCCGGGGGGGTGATTTCTTGCTTTTGTCTCTCTGTCCCTCTCTGTCTCTCCAGCAAGTACAGGTACCCTATAGCAAAAATCTCACAAAAAAATTAAAAATGTAAATTTTACTGTGTCTAAAATATGCCTTAATAGAAAAATGAAATAAAGAATAGAAGCAATAATACTATTTACAGTTGTAAAAAGAAAGCAAGCTATCAAGACTAACACTAAAGAAATTCAACAATATAAACACAATAATTTATTCTGGTCAGAAAAAAAGGTAACTGATTCCAGATGTAAAATCAGAGCTGCAGAAAACAATAAATAAATCTAAATGACAAATGGTTGGATAAAAATAATGTCATAAAGTCGCAGACACATACAAACACACAGGCAAAAGTAAGCATCAATCGTATAACACATCTGCTGTGAAGGGTGAAAATGCTGAAAAGAGTGTTTGCCTTATAATCATGAAGCTGTACATGAGCTTCATGTGGTTTTCTCACTGTGTGCTATATTTAACAATAAAAAAGCTAAACTAAAAAAGGGGGGTACTCTTGATGGTCATATGAATACCTTACAGTATATATTAAGTAAAACAAAGAAAGAAGGTGGAATAAACATATGTATTTGGATTTGCTTCTATCTGAATAAGGAGACACTGTAGAAAGTGTGAAAGAAACTAATAAAGCTAGTTACTTGACAGGGGCAAGGTGAGTGAGGAGTAATAGACAGAACAAGAGTGGGCACCAGGGCTAGCAGGTGATGCAGTGGTTAAGGCCTGGACTCCCACATGGCATAGCAGAAAGCATGATCTCCACATGCATATATTATAGTATCCCCATGCTCCCAAGTCCTACAGAGACAATATGAGCATCCTTACTAAATAGCAACAGGCCAATTAGATGCTCCACACACAGTGGGTTTGCGTCACAGTCGAGGAACCTCCAATGCAGAAACAGTCATTCTTTATAATGGACTACAAGCAAATCTTCCCCAGAGGAAAATACTATTGTCATTATGCTAGAAACAGATAAATCTGACCTCTGACCTAGAAAGGGACACTACCTCATTCATCCAAGGTTGGTCAGTATACAAATATCTTTGAAAAGATAGTCCAAAATAAAACTGTTGGTTCCTCTTAAGCAGCAAAGCAAGAGAACCATGAATAATTATCTCCCACAAAGAATAAATACCATCTGTCAACCAGCACTAAGTAGCCTTTGAGAGTCAGCATCTTGTGATTATTCTCATAGCTATTTAGTAAGGAAGCCCATTTCACAATGGCAACTACACTGTCTCTCATACAGCCAGCAGGAGCTATGCTTGCTCATCTATGCTTGGAAATGTTGTCAGAGTCTTTCTGACAGTACCCAGTATGAATAAGGCCCCAGTTAATGGCTCATAACATTTATAAGAACTCCCTGAGTAATCACCTAAAGAGGAAGTTGTGACTACATCCAATTAAGTTGGAAAAGGACTAAACCAGCTTGGATATTCACCAAGGCAATAGATCCCATTGTCCTTCAGACAATAAGTTTCCTAACTATAACATGCGTAAATTACATCCAATGGTATGATTAACAAATATATTACATAATCAAGTAATGTTTATCTTTCTGGAGTCATCTTAATTCTTCTCTTTCTCTCACCCATTATCTAGTCACTCAACAAGCACTGTCAATATTAACTTTAAAACTGGATCTCAGCCTACTTCTTTTTTTTTTTTTTAGAGGTTTTTGCTATAGGGTGTGTGCGCTCGCCAGACAGACAGAGAGAGACAGAGAGACAGAAAGTGAGAAATCATCCCCCAGGGGGGATGGTCACGCCACAATCCCTTCTCCTCCATTCCCCTCTCTGCATCTTGGGCACACACACACATGCACCCAGCGTGAGTTTTAAGCCACCGGGTCCGAGACTTGAACCACGGTCGACTACGTGAGAGTTCAGCGACATAGCCATTATGCTAACTGCTGGTCCCCTCAGCCTACTTTTGTCCATCATTCTGTCATATTTTCATACTACTACTCCAGAAGTCTCTTAGCTGGTCATCTTATTTCATTCCTGAACACTTCCCACAACAAAAAAATAATAATTCATGCAACAGTTGGATAAATACTATTTAAGTAAATCAGATCATATCACTGTCATATTTAAACAGCTCTAGAATAAAATCCAAAATCCTCACCATGGCCTTCAAGATCCTAAATGATAGCCCCTGCCTCCCTCTCTGACCTTAACATGTAACCATGCCCTTTCTTACTATAAGTGGGCTGATTTCCTCTTTGGGGCTTTTGCATTTTCGGTTTCTTCTGTCAAAAATGGTTACCAGGGGACCAGCAGTTAGTGTAATGGCTATGTCGCTGGACTCCCACGTAGTCAACCGTGGTTCGAGTCCCAGCCCTGGTAGCTTAAACTCACGCTGGGCGCG